GTATATATATATATATATATATATATATATATATATATATATATATACTGAATGATTCCACTTGCATCTCTAAATTTTTACTTCTTCATCTAAACTAGGATTTTAGATTCTATTCCTTTAGTCCTAAGTTCGTGACCAATTCATGAAAAAAAAGAAGAAATCTTGTGAAAGTTGAATCTTGAAATTATTATATGTTACAGTTGCTTTAATGTGCAACATATCAACAACATATCACCGTAATTATTATTTACTCTTGTTATTAAAAGAAAATTATTTCTTTTTATTTTAAATATTTTATACTTAAATACTATTACGCTGAAATTGAAAGGAAATATTGATATATTTGAAGGCATTTCGAAGGATGATATTTAACGTTTATTTCTCATTTACGGTACAATATTTATAGTTTATTTTTGTCACTTGTAATATTATACGCGGATAATCGATACAGCTTAAGGTTCATCGTAACGATACGAATATAAAGATTACACGTCGTACAGCACAAAGGTTTCGCTCTTTGAGCGAGATGTTTTCCGCAGCTTATTTTTCCTTTGCAAAATCGATTTGATAGATATTATGAAGCAAAAACAAATAAAGGATAACTATCAGATTTTAAGATAAAAATAGCCCCGAGTCCTCACTTAAGGTAAAAATAGCTCTCAATTAAAGTTTCTCAATTAAAAAATCAACAAGATAGAGTTGCAAAAAATATATATAATCGTATATATTTTTTAAACTGGCATTAACGATGAGAGACATGAAACATCTTTATATTGTCAACGAAAAAAACAATGTTTCAAAAAACGAATATATATATACACTTAGCAACAAAATTATTGCATAAATTAATTTAAATAAAATTAAAATTTTATTTTAACTTCAAATAAATATAAATTGGCAAAAAATTATCTATTTAAGATTATTAAAAATTTTTTTTGCACTCTCAAGCATAAAATCTATACTTCAAGAAGCATTCGTTATCATTTGAATTTATCTTCCCCTTCTCCCATCATCTTTTCAAAAGTACGAGCGTGTTACGTCTAAAAAAAATTGCATAATTTAACACATTATTCTATGGAGTCGAATGATTTTTTTTTTCGCAAATGTCATGGTAACCACCGTAAAATATGATAAGATATATTTTTCCCTGCAAATTAAAGTTATACAATTTTTTTTTGCGCGCGTGTGCGTATGTAGCTGTCTGACTGTTGCTGCTCTCTCTCTCTCTCTCTC